CCAATGGCATTCTTCACAGAATTAGGACAAAAAAATTTTACAATTTGTATGGAAAAACAAAAGACCCCGAATAGCCAAAGCACTCTTCCAAAAGAAAAACAGAGCTGGATGAATCAGGTACCTGACTTCAGACTATACTACAAAGCTACAGTAATGAAGACAGTATGGTATTGGCACAAAAACAGAAATATAGATCAATGAACTGGATAGAAAGCCCAGAGATAAACCCATGCACATATGGTCACCTAATCTATGACAAAGGAGGAAAGAACATATAATGGAGAAAAGACAACCTCTTCAATAAGTGGTGCTGGGAAAACTGGACAGCTGCATGTAAAAGAATGAAATTAGAACACTCCCTAACACCATAGCCAAAAATAAACTCAAAATGGATTAAAGACCTAAATGTAAGACCAGACACTATAAAACTCTTAGAGGAAAACACAGGAAAATCACTCTTTGACATAAATCGCAGCAAGATCTTTTTTGACCCACCTCCTAGAGTAATGAAAATAAAAACAAAAATAAACAAATGGGTCCTAATGAAACTTACAAGCTTTTGCACAGCAAAGGAAACCATAAATAAGACAAAAAGACAACACTCAGAATGGGAGAAAATATTTGCCAATGAAGCAATGGACAAAGGATTAATCCCCAGAATATACAAACAGCTCATGGATCTCAATATCAAAAAAACAACCCAATTAAAAAATGGGCAGAAGACCTAAATAGACATTTTACCAAAGAAGACATACAGATGGCCAAGAGGCACATGAAAAGATGCTCAACATCATTAATTATTGGAGAAATGCAAATCAAAACTACAAGGAGGTATCACCTCACACCAGTGAGAATGGCCATCGTCAAAAAATCTACAAACAGTAAATGCTGGAGAGGGTGTAGAGAAAAGCGAACCCATTTGCACTTTTGGTGAGAGTGTAAATTGATACAGCCACTATGGAGAACATTATGGAGGTTCCTTAAAAAACTAAAAATAGAACTACCATATGACCCAGCAATCCCACTACTGGGCATATACCCTGAGAAAACCGTAATTCAAAAGGACACATGTATCCCAATGTTCACTGCAGCACGCTTTACAATAGGACATGGAAACAACCTAAATGTCCAACGATAGATGAATGGATAAAGAAGATGTGGTATGTATATACAATGGAATATTAGTCATAAAAAGGAATAAAAGTGGGTCATTTGTAGAGATGTGGATGGACCTAGAGTCTATCATACAGAGTGAAGCCAAAAAGAGAAAAACAAATATCGTATATTAACGCATATATGTGGAATCTAGAAAAATGGTACAGATGAACTTATTTGTAGGACAGGAATAGAGACACAGACGTAGAGAACGGACTTGTGGACATGGTGGGGACAGGGAGGGTGGGACGAATAGGGAGATTAGGTTTGATATAAATACACTACTGTGTGTAAAATAGATAGTGGGAACTTGCTGTATAGCACAGAGAGCTCAGCTTGGTGCACTGTGATCTAGATTGGGGGGTGTGGGGGAGAGGGCAAAGGGGGGGAGGGAGGTCCAAGAGGGAGTGGATATAGGTATAAATATTGCTGATTTACTTCACTGTAGAGCAGAAACTAACACAACATTGTAAAGCAATTTTGCTCCAATAAAAAAAAGAATTAAAATCTCAAAAAAAAAAGTATAACTGCAATAAAAGGAACACTCATCAGACATAGTTCCTTGAAAATTTTTATACCTTCAACCTCTAAAGGAATATGTTATTAGAAAGATAGAGGATGCCAAAGAGTTAGACTATAAACAGCTGCAAGATTATCAAAATATATCTGAGGGGGCGTTTATGTCTTTGATACCAAAATGTGTACTTCTCCATGACAATATACATTAATTATTAACTGCTACTGCTTCTTATAAATGGCTTTCCACTTCTCAGCACTAAGATTCTAGCTTGCTTCTCTAATTACATTCTTTTATCTTAGAAATGATCTTATAAGGTAAACATCAAAACCACCATAGGGTAAAGTATTTTATCGATTATTTTTACTATTCAGTAGGGTAACAAAAGACCATGAAAACAAATGAAAGTCTGTTGCTAACTCTTTATATTATATTGTCACTGTGTTGCCCATTTTAAATGTGGGTGAACAGCTGATTTCCCTAATCTCCAAGTAGTTTTCTTATTCCTAGACAAAGTAAGCTGGACTTAATGAAGAAAAAAAGTGAAAAGTGCAAATTCTTTGGACTACCTTTTAATGAATCCAACTTTCCAGTGATAAGAATCACTGAACCAAAATATATTTTCAAGCAGCCTTATTACCCATACATATATTAGGTATAAGGAAATTGAGTCTAATTTGAAATGAGTTTTAAAACAGCACAAAAACATTACAATCCCCCAGAGCACAATACAAAATAGTCCTCTAAGGAATATAAACACAGTATATAAGAATGTGAAACTACATGATAAGAAAAAAAAAAATCTCTTCAATTAGCTAAAATTTACTTGCTAAAGATTATTTATTGCACAATATGTCAGTTTGCCCTAAGAATAAAACAGATACTATTATTTTCAACTTCTAAATTCAGTACATAGTCAAATCCACTTTCTCAAACTAAAGTTCTACAGTATTATGAGTAAACCCTTTGTTATTGGGTTAAGATAGGGAAACTTTATAACTTAAAAAACAAATTTCTTAAGAGTTCATGAAACCACTTCATAAATCCTAGAAGGCACACATATTTCCTATCATAGTAAGTGCGTTTAAGTACTTCATATTTAAAAAAGACAAGCTGTACAGAATACAAAAAGTATACATTTCATCCATTAAACAAATTTATAACTTCTATGATTAGCTATTACAGTAGAACCTACCTAACATTCACATCTAAAGAATTATCACCCCGTTTAATGGAGTGAGCAAAAACCTGTGCTCCTTTATTTGATAAGGCTAGTAAAAACATTTAATTTCACAGTAGATAAGTTAGTGTCTTGGAGCTCATATTGGAAAATAAGTAAAAGGTTTAGGGCAATATCAAGTCACTGGGCTCACTGTTAAATAATTCCCTGAAAGGTGAAGGATTCTGGGGGATAAAATCATTGGCTATACCTGGAAAGATCCAAAAATCAGTAAAGCCACTTTGTTCATTTTCAGAAACATTCTTAAATTGGGCAATCTGAATGAGACTCAGAAAATCTAATCCATAAAGACAATTTAAAATCTTAGAGCTGGAAAACACCTCAGAGGATTCTCTGTCTCAAGGTTTTCAAAATAGGTTCCATGGAGTACTAATAATCCATGGAGGAGATTCAGAGTTCTGGATTTTGACTTGAATTATTTAATTCTTTTGAAAAAAAAAATTTAAAAACAAGTCCCATCATACAACTGTATTCCTCATCAGATTCCAATATACTGGTAATCACCAGTGCATTAATACATGTTTTCATTGGTTGACTTCATAAATATTTAGTTATTATGGTATATAAAGTTTATATAAGGAAATTTATAACGATAAAATGACATTTAGTGGGGTAGGGTGTGTGTGTGTTCATGCATGTGCAGGATGTGTGTGTAAGGGTTCTGAGTAAAATTTTTACTTGAAAAAAACCGTTCTATTGCTGAAATAAAGTGTGAAAACCACAGATGAAGTCTGTTTCTAAAGTAAGAACCTACAAACCAGAGGAAGGGGCTTTCTCTAGGTCACACAGCCATCAAATGCACTGCCAGGTTGATAGGCTACAGCCCCCAGTACTCTACTTGCATAAGCATCCATAGCAAGTGTTTAGCTATTTGGTACTGAGCTGCCCCCATCATGAATGTCAACCAATTAGTTATCAGTATTTTGGGGGTAAAATCAAGCTACCTTTTGTCAGACATTTTTCCTAAAAATGAATTACTTAATTTGCATGCCTATTAAAGTCCCTAGTATCCAAAAATTCTGCTGTCAATAAGCAGCAACTTAAATTGTATACTTTGGTACTCTGGAAAATAGTAACATTTGCAATTTACCAATAATAAATCAGAAAGGTCACATGGAATGTTAAAATACTTTTTAAAGACATCAGGCCCTAGTTTATTATATGCTGAAATGTTACTGTTTGCATAAAATAAAAAATTTTACTTTATAAGCAAAATTTAAAAAAAATGGTTAAAATGCCACTGAACATAACTATACTCTTTCAGGGTATTTCAAATAAAATGCAGTGAAACAGTAAGAAAGTCAAATTAATCTCCTAACTTTCAGAGGTGTTTTATGTACATATGGTTAAAAGGCTACACCCTATTTTCTTCTCTCTTAATCTAAGAAATTTGAAGACTGGGACCTCAGAAAGATGCCTTCAAATTAAGAAAATAAAAGCACCATAAACCAATATTGAATGATTTATCATAATCTGGACATAAAATTTAGGGTCTGTGATGAAGAAAAATTTCCATCTGAAACGGCAAGATGCATACGTATTATCAAAAGCTATTTAGAACAGTTTCCCAGCTGTGGGAAAGCATTTCCAGAATAGCCAAGAAGATTATCCAGCAGAAGTCCATTTACAAGGCAAAGTCCTGCCCAAGTTTATAGTCCTAATCCAAATTATACAGCATGGGGGAGGGGGGAGAAGACTTTTAAGTGAAAAATATGTAGTTCCAAAACACTTAAAAGTTATGAAATAATTGTGGATTATTTCAAGTAAAAACTATAAAGGAGCAATAGCTAACCACAAGGGGGCATACATACTCCTTAGATTCCAGCAGTAAGACTAATTTAAGTAGTAACATGCACTTTGATGTATTCTACATTTTCAGTCATTTAAGATTTTCTCTCAGATGGCTACAGCTTTTTAACATTCAAGGTTTATTTTAAACCTAACTAAATAGATTCCAGAATACTCTTGCCCTGAAAAATAACAGTATTTCAGAAGCCCCTGGAAATGTTGCTGTTACCTCAGCAAAGGATTCAAGAGCAATTAGTCCTAATATATATTAGAACAGATAAACAATAGGAATATATGGTCTAAAACAGTAGCAAGTTTTAGTTTACCATAAATGGAAGACATGGAAAGTTTATCAAAGGAAATGGACAAATTGTCAGAATAGTGAAAATAAGAGGGTGGGGAAAATTGACTTCTCTGTGTCTGTCCTACAACATCCCTGCATTCTTCCACCATGACCAAAGTGTTTGTAGCCCACATTAGCAACAGAACACTTCACCCCAAGGTCATGGCCTATGGGGCTGGCCTGCCTCATCAGCCATGTTAAGAATATAGTTCGCCATATCATCTTCAGTGGGTGCATCTGACACCACCCAAGATTCATTTGCTCCAGTCATCTGTAGGCGGCAAATCGGGCAATTCCTGTGTCGATCACTCCTATTAGAGAAGTCAAATAACAGTTTGTTTTCTTTTTGTTTAAAAAATGGATTTGGAACAACACATGTACATGTTGGGTTTTTTTTCAAAGTAAACAGCATAAAAGTATATAGTGAAAAATATGTCTCTTCCTCCTATCCCAGTCTTTAATTATTATCCCCAGAGGCAACCACTGTTACCAGTTTCTTATACATTCTTCTAGAGACCAGGCATGACGAAGCTTGTGTGTATCTATACATCACTGCTCTTTTTACAAGTATCAGCACATGTTAGAGCTGTCTATTCAAAATAAACATACACTGTTTGGATAGGCCATACTTCATTTAACTTATCTCCCATAGAAGGACATTTAGGTGTTTTCCTATCTTTTGCTGCTATAAACAATGGAATGGAAGCATTCAAGATTTAAAATAATAAATGAACTTTACATGCAGAATAATTTTGGGGGGAGGAAAGAGCTTAATCACATAAATAAGATTATGTTTTCCAAAGGGATTTTTTTGTCTTCTCAAACATTATTTTGGAAATTTCAAAAATAACATATTTGAGCCAGAAACATGTCATAGAGGGAAAATATTTTTCTCTTCATCTCTCAGTGAAGTCTGAGACCAAAGTAATTAAATTATATCAATTGCTCCTTGGCTTCTGTGCAAAAATTTAGAAATCTGTTCCAAAAACTCAATGTGAAAGTAGAGCTGGCATATATAATTCAGATTCATTTCTGGTTCCTCAGAGATATTTTTCAAGATAATTGTGTGCTTTTCTGTGCACAAAAGTTACAATTTTAGAACAGTCAATTTCTGTTTCTGGCCAATAGGGAACAGATTTATCTTCCCACTTGAAACAACTAAAACACTGGACAAAATACATGAAATAATGGTTTTCAACACTAAGCATAAGATGACAAAAGATTATAACCCTGGAGAGATAGGAAGCAAAAGAAGGTGAGCCCTATAATTGCCCAGCTTACTGCCCTTGAGAGTTTCCAGGCTACAGAGCAAGCAGGGGAGACTGAGATGGAGCCCAGTAGACTCCAGGCCTGAGTTGACAAGTCAGGGCTGAGGACCTCGAGAAGCCAAAGCAGCTAGAGTTCATAGGGTGGAGTACTGCAAAGGAGAAAGCTACACAAAGGGAGAATCCCAGAGTCTACTGAAGGTCCCCGTAGATATATTCAGTAGAGTAATGATCAGTGTGTGCATGTGAGGAAACCACTCGAGGCTGTGGAATCACCCAAAAGGATTTGAGGGAACAGTAACCAAAGCTCACACAGGGCCTGGGACATTGCCTGTTCCCACCAGCCAGAGTGGAAAACCTCATAATTCATGGAGCATTGGGTAGAGTACTCTGAAGTCTTGCCTCATTAGTGGGGCATAATTAGCTTCTAAACTAAACATCATTCTGGTCCTGCCTAACAAACCATAAAAGCAAGACTCAAAAGGATTAAACCGTTTCCAAGTAACTATATTCCAGAACAAAGCTCAAGAATATTTATACGTATACAAAAATATCCAGTACCCCAAAAGGTAAAAAAAAAAATCACAATGTCTGGCACCCAGTTAAGAACTACCAGTCATACAAAGAAGTATAAAAATACAACCCAAAATGAAGAGGATAATCCATCAAAAGTAATCCAGAACTCACACAGATATTAGAATTAGCAGCAAGAAAATGAAAGGTTATGATAACTATATTCCATATATTAAAAAAGTAGAGGAAAGACAAACATATTAAGCGGAGATTGGAAGATATTAAAAACTTAAACTTCTGGATGAAAACTAAGATATCTCAAGAAAAAAATACACTGGGTGGGATTAATGGCAAGTTAGACATTGCAGGAAAAAAAGATTAGTGAATTTGAAAAGATATAGCAATATTAACTATCCAAAATGAAATACAGAGAAAATGACTCAAAAAAGAAGGAAAGGGCTTCCCCTGGTGGCGCAGTGGTTGAGAGTCCGCCTGCCGATGCAGGGGACACGGGTTCGTGCCCCGGTCCGGGAATATCCCACATGCCGTGGAGCGGCTGGGCCCGGGAGCCATGGCCGCTGGGCCTGCGCGTCCGGAGCGTGTGCTCCACAATGGGACAGGCCACAGCAGTGAGACGCCCGCGTACCGCAAAAAAAAAAAAAAAAAAAAAAAAGAAGGAAAATAGCATCAGTGAACTGTGGGACAACCTAAAGTGGTCTAATACATGAGTAACTGGAGTCTCAGAAGGAGAGGGGACAAAAGAAAACAGAAAAAAATATTTGAGAAAATACTGGCTGAAAAATTTCCAAAATGGATGATACTATAAACCTACAAATCCAAGGAGCTCAATGAACCCTAAGTGCAAGGAACATGAAGAAAACTAACGCACATCAATCAAATTGCTCAAAAACAGTGATAAAGGGAAAAAACCTTAAAAGCAGCCAGAGAAAAAAAGGCACATTACCTACAGAGGAAAAATGATGAGGATGAGAGCAGATTTCTCACAGGAAATGATGTAAGCAAGAAGGTGGGGGAGCAACGTCATTAAAGTACTGAGAGAAAAAATATTAACAGTCTAGAATTCTATATCCAGAAAAAGTATCTTTCAAAAGTGTTTTTCACACACTTGATAAAATCCTATGGAATCTACAATAAAGCTATAAGAGCTAATAAATAAATCAGTAAGGTTGCAGGATAGATTGATACACAAAATCTGTTTATTGCTAGTACACAGAAATACAATAATCAGAAACTGAAATTTAAAAATACCATTTAAAGTAGCATAAAAATTATAAAATACTTAGGGATCAGTCTGTCAAGGATATGCAACACTGGAAACTACAAATATTGATGACAGAAATTAAAGACGACCTAAATAAATCGAGAAATATACTGTGATATGGGTTGGAAGACTCAGTATTGTTAAGAAGTTAACACTCTCAAAATTATTTAATGCAATCCCAATCAAAATTCTTATAGCTTTTTTGTAGAAATTGACAAGTTGATTATACAGTTCACACTGAAATGCAGAAGATCTAGAAAAGCCAAAACAACTTTGAAAAAGAACAAAGTTGGAGGATTAACACACCCTGATTTTAAGACTTACAAAGCTACACTAACCTATGTAGTGTGGTATTGGTGTGAAATAGACAATAGGTCAATGGAACAGAATAGAGTCCAGAAATAGACTCACCTGTGCTTTAACAACTGATTTTTAACAAAGGTGAAGAGGCGATTTAGTGAAGAAAAGATAGTCTTTTCAACAAATTGTGCTGGAGCAACTGGAAAGCCATGTAAGCGTAAAATAAAAATTTTTTGATCCACATGTCACAGCATATACAAAAATTAACTCAAAATAGATCATAGACCAAAATGTAAAACCTAAAAACTATAAATCTTTTGGAAGAAAAAATGGAAGAAAACCTTTGTGACCTTGGGTTACACAAAGATTTCTTAGATATGACAGTAAAAAATCATTATCCATTAATCACAAACTGAGAAATTGGACTTCATCAAAATTAAAAACGTCTACTCTTTTTTGTTTTGTTTTGTTTTTGTTTTTGTTTGCGGTACACGGGCCTCTCACTGTTGTGGCCTCTCCCGTTGCGGAGCACAGGCTCCGGATGCGCAGGCTCAGCGGCCATGGCTCACGGGCCCAGCCGCTCCGCGCCATGTGGGATCTTCCCAGACGGGGGCACGAACCCGTGTCCCCTGCATCGGCAGGCAGACTCTCAACCACTGCGCCACCAGGGAAGCCCAAAAATGTCTACTCTTTGAAAGACATTCTTAAGAGAATGAAAAGATAAATCACAGAGTGGGAGAAAATATTTGCAAATCATATATCTGATAAAGGACATGTATCCATAATACCTAAAGAACTCTCAAAACTTAATACAAAACAACCCAATAAAGAAATGGGCAAAAGATCTGAATGAATACTTCACCAAAGATGAAATACATACAGATGGAAAATTAGCATAAGAAAAGATGCGCAGCATCATCAGTCAGGAGGGAAAGGCAAATTAAAACCACAGTGAGATACCACTACACATCTATTAGAATGGCTACAATTAAAAGGACTGACAAATACCAAGTACTGGCAAGGTTGTGTGGCAAGTGGAGCTCTCATACACTGCTGGCAGGAGTGTAAAATGGCACAGCCACTTCGGAAATCAGTGGGCAGGTTCTTAAAAAGTTAAACATATACCTACCGTATGATCTAGCCATTCCACTTCTAGTTATTTATCCAAGAAAAAAACAAAATGTATGTCCATAAAAACAGTTGTCCACAAATGTACATTTAAAGTATATATAAAGACAGCTTTATTTGTAATAGCCAAAAATTGAAAACAACCCGATGTCCATCAACGGGTGAATGGATGATAAATAAGCTGTGGTATATCCATACAATGAATACTACTCAGTAATAAAAAGGAAGGAGCTACTGATACATACTACAACATAAGTAAATTTTGAAATAATTATAATGAATGAAAAAAGCCAGACAAAAGAAGAGTACATACTGTATGATTCCATTTATAAAAATTATAGAAAATCCAAATTATTTTATAGTGATTGAAAGCACATTAGTGGTTGTCTGGGGACTAAAAGAAGGGGTGGGGGGCATGAGGTAACTTTTGGGAGTGACAGATTTGTTCATTACCTAGATTGTGATGATGATTTTTATGGGCATATACATGTATCAAAATATATCAAATTGTACTTTAAATATATGTAGTTATAACTGACATATTGTATGTCAATTATAAATTCTCCTGAACGCTTGATTCTTAATTTGTAAAATAATCAACTTGACTAGCTGTTCTCTAAAGTTCTCTCCAGGTCCAATATTCAATATTCAAGGATTCATATTATTCTTTCTAATCATATATGGAGGAAAAAAGTAGAAATGAGGAGGAAAATAGAAGAAAAGGGGGAATGTTTGATTCTAGACTCTAGTCAGGCACAAATCTCCTTACAGCAAAAGTAAATTGTCAAAACTAAGATACATCCCCACATTTTATAAGCTTTAGGTATAAAAATATTTTAACCAGTAGGAGGCATGTCATAAAATCCAAAGTACTAAAGAACAAAATCTCTTATACTTAACTATAATATTTTTGCATTTTTTGAAGTTTATTCATATACACTCTCCCTCTTGATCTTGGCCTAACCCATGAAGGCAGATTACTTACCACTTGTCAATGCACTTCTGACAAAAGCTGTGAGCACAAGGCAGGATGAGGTCAGCTCGACCATCCATACAGATACAGCACTCCTCCTCGTCAGTCAGCTGCTTTACCCTGCAATGTGAAAACTGAGCTGGAGCAATGATATTCTCTGTTGTCACTGTGCAGTAAACTTTGTTTCCATTGCCTTAAAAAGCATTATCAAGCATCTATGTGCCCTCAACGTAAAGCACAATATGACTCATGCAATACCAGAGTAAATTCTTTTAGGGATAGCAAATATATTAGGGAAGAAGTACTAGAGGGGCAAATTCCATAAAGAAAGGACTGGATAAAAGATAAATCCTGAGATGGTTAAAAGGAAAATATGGACCAAAACTGGAAAATAACTTAGCCCATTTTAATCATATTGAATTTTTATAAATGAATTCAACCAATATATGATTTATTCACCATGCAGGATACAAAGCTTTCTAAAATAGGGATCCTGCCATCAGGGTCTTGTTATGCTACTGCTGATAATGGGCATTTAAGTGAAAGAATAGCTTAGTCTTAAGGATCAGGTGCTTGCTATACGAAATACAAAAGAGTTAGAAAGCAAAGTTATTTGTCCTCAAAGAGCTCTTTCATCTTGGGAAGAAAAGAGATAATGAACCTTCTACTCCAGCCACAATTCAGAATGCCCCTGAATGAGCCAAGGACCTTTGTATGTGGTGTTCTCCTTTCCTGGCATACCCTTGTGAGTTTGGTAAACTCCAACCTCAGTTACTCAGCTCAAGATACCATCTTCTTTATGCTCTCAAAACCAACATTTTCCTCAGTTAAAGGACTTAAATACTGTATTTTAATTGGCTATTTATTGGTTGGTCTATCCATAAACTGTAAGCTCTTTGAATACAAGGAGTTTGTCTTAGGTTCTCAATACATGTTTCTTGAAGTGATTTTAATTTGCTTTTAATCTTTGTGCTATTCTGTAATTTTTAGGTTTACTTCATCAAGCATGTACTACTTTTATAATTATACAAAAATTAAATGTTTCAAAGTATAGCCACTGGACTATAAGCTTCTTGAGGGTAGGAACTATCTCTAACATGTTTTTATTCCCTGCTGTGCTTATACCACTGTATATAAGACATTATATAGTACTTTAAAATCTGTCAATTTGTATATAGAAGATAAGCAAATGTCAAATGTGCATTACATGTAGTAAGTGCTAAGTAAAGAAGGAAGAAATGAGTATATTTCAAACTTGTCGGAAAGATGAGGTAGAAAAAACGATAGGATTTCAACAGACAGAGGACATTCTATGTGAATAAACACAGCTATAGAGGTAGGAAATAAAAAACCCCAAACTCTGTATATGTGTGTAACAAGGAGGTTAGCATCATGCTCCGGGGAGAAAAATAAAAGAAAAGATTGCTTAAGTATAGCAGAGATAATCTGATCCTTGTATGTCAAAATAGTAAGTTTAAACTTGTTCTGACAGAGTTTAATCAAGGAGAAAGTGAACCCCCATTGGAAATAATGCTGTAGGAGATTAATTGGGAGAGCAATATGGAGGACAGTCTAGAGGGAGGAACACCAATCAGATCCTTATTTCAGCAATTCACCTGGGAGATAATTTGGGCCTGGTCTAAGCAGCATTACAAAAGACAAATCATCAGGATGTGGTAATAGATTAAATGCTATGCTTTAGCAATGCATAATAGAGGGAAGCCCCTGAATTGAAATGGGGAAACTGAATGAAACCCTAGATGGATGTGGATCTAATGTTATCTGAATTTTTCTATATCTATTCATTTAAATGTTTAAATGCCTTTTAGGTGCCACGTATTGTGCCAGACCCAGAAGAACTAGGGTCTCTGCTCTTGAGGAGTTTACAATTTATGTCTAATGATATGGACTTGGGTGTCAGTAGCAGAGAATATAATTGAATCCATAAAGAGTGACAGAGTCTTGAAGGTTAGAGTTTAAAACTGAGGAGTAGAGGGTTACAAAGAACAGCATTCTGGATGGAGGTAAAACAAAGAACAGGAGACACAGAAGCAGCCAGTAGAAGCTGTACTATGTTCACTTTTCTTGCTACCTTCCTAGCAATACAGTGACCAGAAGAAGGAAGGAGGAAGAGTCTTGCTCTGTTTGTCCTTATTAGACCACTTGTAAAGTGGAGAATTCAGTTCTCTGCCCCCTACCCTGAAAGACAAATTGACAAATAAAAGATCATCCAGGAAAGCCTCTGGGATATAGAAGAGACCTATACAAACAAAGGCCGAAGGAACTGGGGAGGCTTATCCTGGAGAACAGAGGCTCAGTGAGGATTTGATTTCTGTTTTCAAGTATTTGAAGGGCTGAAAGAGAGAACAGACTTGTTTGGTGGATTTCCAGAGGGCACTGTCACTGAAATAAGTAGAATACAGTAATAATTTAAGAATAATGATAGTTAACTTTTACAGACTTTTTTTTTTTATGGGCCAGGCACTGTTCCAAGCATTTTATTTATTTAATTTATTTATTTTTGGCTGCGTTGGGTCTTCGTCGCTTTGTGCAGGCTTTCTCTAGTTGCGGCGAGCGGGGGCTACTCTTAGTTGTGGTGTGCGGGCTTCTCATTGCGGTGGCTTCTCTTATTGTGGAGCACGGGCTCTAGGCGTGCGGGCTTCAGTTGTGGCTCATGGGCTCTAGAGCGCAGGCTCAGTAGTTGTGGCACATGGGCTTAGTTGCTCCGTGGCATGTGGGATCTTCCCAGACCAGGTCTCCAACCCACGTCCCCTGCATTGGCAGGTGGATTCTTAACCACCGCACCACCAGGGAAGCCCCCAAGCATTTTACATATATTAACTCACTTAACTCTCCCAAGAGTCCTATGAAGTAGATCTTATCATTGTCATCCTCTTTTAAAAGATGAGGAAACTGAGGAAAGAGAGTTTAATAACTTGTCCAGAGTGACACAGTAAGGAGTAGAGCCAGGATTTGAACACAGGCAACTTGGTTCTAGAATCTGTGCTGTACTGCCTCAGGAGAGCCAGATTTTTGGCTCTGAGGAAAATAATGCAAAAGGGGAAATTACATAGTGATTAAAGCTATTTGTGAATCAAAAGGCTTGCCTTTCTGAGGCAGTGAGTCCCTTACAGCTACAGGTGTTCATGTACAAGCTGGACTACCACTTGGCTAAATGTGGTTAAGTCTCACTATGCAAAGTGCTATCCATGGATGAGCAGTAGTGACAACACCTGGGAACCTGACAGAATCTCAAGCTCCTTCTCAAAACCAGTGAATATTAAAGTTTAAGAAGCACTCTAGTATAGGATCTTCCTGCACCAGAGAGTACTCATGCAGAGGTTGCGAGCATGGCTGTATTGCCAGACAGGCCAGAATGTGAATCTCAGCTAGGCCAATTTCTAGCCGTGTCATTTATTTGTCTAAACCTCAGTTTCTACATCTGTAATGAACCAATAATTGTATTCCTATGGCGTTGTTGTGATTTAATGAGTTTATACGTGTAAAGCACTCATCACGATGCCTAATACCCTACAAGTACTTAATAAATATAAACCACTAATAGAAATAGGCACCAGATGTAAGGCTGAACCAAATAAATACCTCTTAAGATCCCTCTCAACTTGAAAAGTCTGTTTTTCTATGAACTAAGTATATCAGGGTGTAACAAAAAAACCAAAAAAACATACAAAGGCAAGAAGCAGCCCTAACCTACCAATCAGGCATTGAGTTTCCCAGTCTCAAGGGCACATGAAAAGGAATAACACACTTACCTCCTTCATTACAATGACTGCAATAAGAAAAAAGTATTACTTTCAATTAATTTGCTACCATCGAGCTTAGTAAATACTATTTACTAGTAAATACTACTGTCAACTTTCAAAATACTCAAAAAAAAAAAAATCACCATTCTGAAGAGGGAGAGGAAAAAAAGCAGGAAACCAGACACCTGTCTTTGAAAGATTAACTTTACAAAATACAGGAAAGATAAGCCAAAATCCTGCCTATAATACTCTAAAACTCATTTGGCATTTCATCAGCAACACTTGTACAGCCCAAACGTAGAAAACCAAACAATCCTATTAAAGATAAACAGGAAATGATAAGTTAAAATACAATCTTAATACAACATAGTATTTGGAAACCAGGTGGTTAAGAATGGATCGGAAAATGCAACTGTAAATGGAGCAATAAAAAAGAAGTTCTTGTTAACCATATTCTTAACTTCAAGTTAAAAGACACTGTCAGTTCAGATTTGTGCTGTCTATCCTGTATGACAATAAGACAGGATGTCAACATGTCTGGACCCACATAAGCCTTTTTCCAATGAGGCATTTATAAAGTTAAATTATGGTCATGGTTGTCAAATGGCAACAGGTGGGAGTTTTCACATGCCAAAAGCATTATAGAGAAGGAAAAGAAAGTTTAGATAGAACAATAATATATTAGGCCTGAGTAAACAAGCACCATCACAGAAAATGCTGTCTGACTTCATTTCCTTCTGGTAACTCAGTACATGCAACATGTGCACCAACTACTTGTTCATTCCTGAATGGACTGCCAAGTCCTGGAGACAGTATTTACAATGTTAATGCTCCAATTAATCAGATATCTTTAAGAAAAACTGGAATGGTTTTGCCAGATGCTTGGACCTAATTCCCTGAAGAGGTTTGATTGTCTAAGGACCTAAATGCCTATTATAAGAGGGGTATTAACTATATCCTTTGTCATTAAATGCAAGCAAGTAGAGCGGAGAGTGGATTCATGGAAACTAGATTGGCAGAAGCATTACCTGGTGTGAGCCACTTTAGTGTTTCTTTAATTTGGCACTCTAACAATGTCCTGAAACACAGAATAATCCAAAAGCAGATCTGGGATATAATATCAACTGAGACAAAAAGTAATGTGATTTAAGATGTCACGGAGAACACCAGCAAAAACATTAATGCGATTTCAGTACTTTGCATGTTGGAAAATAAGAGAAACATGGTATTTATGAACTGTATACCTTCCCATCCAAAGACTAGCCTGACAAGATGTTACAGATGATGAGTTTTCATCAGGGTCTTCAGAGGTGGAGCTCTGTGCCAATACTCCTGCTGCTTGACTTGTGATGTCTTTATAAAGCTGAATAAACTGGTACAAATTCATGATCCGTGATGCTTCCACAATGCCACTGCTTTTGTTAATCTAAAAATACAAATAAAATGAAAAAAAAAAGTTGATAATTTTTCTGATCGATTTTTCCCAAAAAAGGGGAACAAATATTTAGTCAAACATCCTAGGAAACAGAAGTTTTCAAAGTCTGCAAATTATCTAACAAGAGAGCAAGAGTCTGAGCAAATGAATATCATGTCCCCTACATTTGTGGGTTTCAAAATATACAATATTATATCATGTATACTCAAAATAACCGGTAGGGTTGATTAGCCATCATCCTGTTTAGTTGTTGAGGTCAGGCAACTTTCCCAGAATTAAGAAACTAATTTTGGCGCAGTGCTTGGGAGTCCGCCTGCCGATGCAGGGGATACGGGTTCGTGCCCCGGTCCGGGAGGATCCCACATGCCGCGGAGCGGCTGGGCCCGTGAGCCATGGCTGCTGAGCTTGCGCGTCCGGCAACGGGAGAGGCCACGACAGTGAGAGGCCCACATATCGCAAAAAAAAAAAGAAACTAATTTTAGAGATCAGTATTGACAATCCTTTTCATTTTATTTAAAGAATTTCTTTTTTCTTAATTAAGGTTCAGTTTTTTAAGATATTTATTCATTTATTCATTTATCACTTATTTTGGCTGTGCCGGGTCTTAGTTGCGGTATGCAGGATCTTCGTTGTGGCATGTGGGATCTTTAGTTGCAGCATGCATGTGGGATCTAGTTCCCCGACCAGGGATCAAACCCGGGCCCTCTGCATTGGGAATGCGGAGTCTTACCCACTGGACCACCAGGGAAGCCCCTATAGAATTTTTTAATTAAAGATTTATTTGAATCCAACAACCACATACTATTCTACTATAACTGAAACAACAGATTTCCTTCTTGAATATCTTAAGTTCTATTATATACCAAAACTTACAATCTGGAGACATGAGAAAGTGAAGTACAATAGTTAGGTTATATTAAAAAGACATGATTATAGCAACATTTCAATATTTTGATAAAATAATAATATTTGTAACTAGCATTTATTATTACTTGAGAAGGGAGTAAGAGAAAAAAAAGAATCAAGTATGAATCAGATTCCACTGTGAAAATGGTAGAACCATCTCTAATAATCAGAAAATTCATTAAATTTGGGGAAGGTAAGGTCTCTATAGAGATGCAAATATGTAAGATTCTTTGTAATAAAAGACCATACATGGGGTAGAGAACAAATAAATAGCATTAAAGGTGACAGGAATTTATACAGGCTTACAAAATAAGACTTTCAGAGCTGAGGAAGCTGGGCCAGTCTTCCTTTGGAACTGCACAGTTCAGAAATTAGGGAATAATTCATATAAACTTAGTATTTAATAGCAAAGCTCATCAAACTTCAATTTTTTTAATTGAAGTATAGTTGATGTACAATATAAATTACAGGTATACAATATAGTGATTCACAATTTTTAAAGGTTATACTCCATTTATAGTTATTATATTAGCTATACTCCCTGTGTTGTACAATATATTCTTGAAGCTTATTTTATACCTCACAGCTTGTACCTCTTAATCCCCTCCCCTTATATTGCCCCTACCCACCCACCCCTGCCACTGGTAATCACTAGTTTGTTCTCTATATCCGTGAGTCTTCTTTTTTGTTATATTTGCTACAAACTGTAATTACTATAATCATAAGATTCACATAACAAATATTTATCGAGTACCCATTATGTGGGTGTTACACGTACGATGTACACTGCTCTAGGCACTGGTGACACAGTGTGTAAAAACCAGACAAAAATCCCTGTCTTCATGGAGGTTACACTATAGGTAGGAGAGACAGACAAATAAAATACAGATTAGATAAGATGGAAATAAGTGCTATGGAGAATATTAAACAGAGGAGAGAAAATGCTGAAAGGCTACAGGCAAGGCCTCACAGAGTAGGTGACATTTAGGAACTAAAGAGGTGCACGAATCAGTCATATGGATATCTGGGGGAAAGAGCATTCCAGGTTGACAGTCAAGTGCAAAGGCAGAAGTGAACCTGGCAAGGAGCCAAGCGTGGCTGGAACAGAATGAGAGAGAGGAGTGGTTGAAGATAGGGTTAGGGAGTGAGGTGGGGACAGAATGTATATAACTTTCCTGTTCACAGTAATGACTTTGGTTTTTACTCCAAGGGCATGGCAAGTCACTGGAGGGTTTTGAGCCAAGGAGTAATAATATCTAATTTCATTTCAGATTATGAGTGGAATAGACTGGTTATTGTGCTGAGACTAGACATAATAGGGACAAGGGCAGAAGCAGGGAGACGAGTTAGAAGGCTATTGGAATAATCCCAGTGAGGGATGATGGTTGCTAGGAATAAGGTGATAGTAATGACAATGGTACGAGTTGGTCACATTCTGAATATATTTTGAAGAGAAACCTGACAGGATTCACTCATACACTGACTGTGGGGTGGGTATAAGAGAAAAAAAGAAGTCAAGGATGACTCCAAGGTGTTGGTCTACGTAAAAAGACGGATGAAAATAATATAATTCATGAAGCTTCTTAACAGCCATCTTAGTCCATAATTTTAATTAACCCATTAATTTTTCTAATATTATTCCCACAAAATATTCCATTTAAACATTATTTAGATTATTTTTTATAATGTTTGAGTATAACCGCCACAGCAGGTAGCAGATACTCAGGATAAGGTCTTACTGTAAATTGGCTTTTAGTTGCTTAAGATTAAGAAATATAAAATTTCAGTCTACTATCAGCTTTCTATACTGGACTTTAACTCTTTTTTTCTAATGTTAACACTGACTTATAGAGTCTTTCAAAAAGAAACTAAGAAATGCAAATAAAACATTTCTTTAGATCTAAAATCAAGAAAAATTATACAAATGAAAGGTCTGATTGCCTATGTTTTTAATACTTTTGTTTTTCTAACTTAGAATCTTATTTTAAGGATGATGTTTAATCACCATAAAGATATAATGTTTAGAGATACTGAGGCAAAAAAATTTTTTTGACTAACAGTAAAATCAAACATTAATTCTGTGTTTGCCAAAGAAGAGCAACAGAAAACTAAGGGATCAGAAATCTGCTACATTCATATTCCTACAGTTTTCTACAATTTCTACTGGGCCCTTTAATGTGAGCTGAGTAATTTATAAAACAAAGATGGAGAATGTAATTTAGGTACTATACTATATCAATACACAAGGAAAGCTTCAACCTATCCCAGTCATTTAAAATGAGACTATTTCTTCAACAGATTTTTGTTCACTCAACATATATTGAGTTCTTACCAGGTACTAAGCATTACAGGCTGTAAGAGATACAAGGATGAATCTAGACAGAGTTCCTGCTCTCAGGAGCTTAATATCTTCTAGGGACACTAAGAACCTAAACAAATAATTTTAGTCATAACGTAAAATTTAATCATGAAGTATAAATAAAGTGCTTTTGGAGTTTAGAAGAGCCAAAAGAACTTCTTTAGGTTAACTTTATGGATGAGATGGTATTTGAGGTGGACCTTTAAGGAGACCTCAAATTTAGACATGCAGAAATAAAAGATGTGGCAGAAACTACTGGCTGATTATCCAAATGCCATTCCCACTTTTTACTGTGCCAGTAGTGCCCTAATTTTGTTTTGGTGACTACCACTCCCTGAAATGACTCAGGAGTCAATCCTTGTTAGTCTCATCTAAACCAGTCAGAGTAATCACATCCCCTCTGCCAGTGTAGGTGTAAGAAGGGGAATGTGAGCTAATATTGACCCAATGAGTTTGAAAGAGGGATCTGCTAGGTCTTTGAATTAACCAATCGAGGAGCTACTTTATATTAGGGTTTCTTGATAAGTGAGAAAATAAATACTGTTTTTGTTTAAACTGGTGGAATAGGGTTATTCTGTGACTTGTATCTGATGGCAATTAAAACGACAGAGGAATGGACATTCTAATGAGGGAACTCAGTGAGCAGAGGCATCGAGATAGGAAAGTAACAGCTATACAGCCTTAAATTAGTTAAGCCTGGTGATTGCAAAAGGGGATAGTGGTAAAACAGAAAAGATAGCTTGGAGCCATATTGTAGAGGGCCTCAAATGCCAGGTCAAAGAGTTGGGACTATTTTGAAGTGAAGGAAGAATTGCTGAGGAATTTTAAACAGAAAAGTGATCTGATGAGAGCTGTGCTTTAGAAAGGTTATTCTCACAGGATCATAAATTAGAACTGAGGTGGAGTCAAGATGGCGGTGTAGGAAGACGTGGGGTTAGCGTCTCCCCACAACTAGGGCGACTGCCAGCCACTGGTGGGAGACTGACGCCCAAGGAGATGGGAGGAACCCCAAAGTGAATTGGTAGGGCGTATGGGGGACTGAGGCGGGAGGACAAGTGGAGGCCAGACAGGATCGGTGCCCCTGAGGCCAGGGAGGTCAGGAGAGGCAGGCGGGAGGGACTCTCTGGGAAGAGTGGGAGAGGAGTGGGGGGCAATTGCCCTGCCCATTCGGGCCCGGGGAGGCTGATGAGCTCCCAGGCTGATCCCCTGCCCTCAAAATCCCCTCCAGGTCACGTGGGTCCTTGGAGGTACAGGAGGGAGGCTGAGGAGATCAGGAGAGGCAGGCGGGAGGGGCCCTCCCAGACCAGAGGAGAGGAGAGGAGGGCGTCTGCCCCACCCATTTGAGCCCAGGAAGCCTGCTGGCCTCCCAGGTGAGGTCTGCTGCCCTCTGAGACCAGGGTGGGGGGCACACCTGGGCCCCTTCTGTTCCTTAAGCCTAAGCTCCACCCCCCACAGCGCCTTTTCCAGCCCTGTGGGTCCTGAGTATTGTCCCTGCCCACCACCCAAACCTCACCAATGCTTAGGCCCCACCCTCCACAGCCAAGGCCTCCCCCCCACCCTTTTTTATTTCTTTTCCTCCCTCCTCTTTTTTACTATTGTGGTACTGATGTACCTTCTGGTTGTTGATTCATCTATATTTTCATTTTTATATTCTTCCTAACATATCTGTTAGTTTCCTAGTCTAATTTTATTTTTTACTTTGTTATTGTTCTTTTTTGACTGGCTG